AATTGAATTGCTATCACAATAAATTTTTTATGTTTAAATAATATCTAATATACTGTGTATGCTGTAATCATATCATGTAATACGAAGGTTTAATGTTTTAAAATTGATAAGGTCTCAATTTATTTTTTTTTATTAAAAAAATTATAATGATTACTAAAAAAATTATTTGACACGTTCTTATCAGATACATTTAATAGATATTTCGCAATATGGTTTTTAATTTAAATAATAATAAAATTTTTTTATTATTGATATCTTGTTACATTTTCGGTAAATCAGTTTTCGGGATAATGTTTTGTAGTGATATATATTGTTGAGATATTGTCTTGTCGGTAAAAGGTCCATTCGGGATTATGACTTGTTAGGATTATGACTTGTCGGGCAATCATTGTCAGGCAAAGTAGACATCAGGAAAAAGGTTGTTGGGATGTTGTCTATCATCGAGATGATTAGTTTTAAGAACGAGACCTTGAAGAACATCTCAGAAATGCTGAAGGATGGCAGCAATGCAAAATAAAAGATGAAAGAAAGCAGTATGTTTCTGATACATACGTATTTTGGTCAGAAATGTTAAGGCTGCTTTATTTTAACCTGATTCAATATCTTATCATCAATCCGATACATTGCCTTTTTCTTGGTATTGCATATTAGATAGTAAAAAGGTTATAGTCTAACAAAATCAATCTTGTATTATTGGAAGAATGAGCAAAAATCATCAACCTACCCACCGATTTGGGTCAGATCCCAAATAAAATTTCAACTGGAGAAGGGTTTCCAGCTTTACTGCTGATCAATGAAAGACTTTTATTTTAGTATATGCGAATCCATTATTATGGGATCTTTTGGATTTACTGGATAGAGAAATATTAGTTAATTTTGTTAGAGCTTGCTTATTACTTGTATGTTGAATAATTGACAATAATATATTGATTGAAGTTCATGTCCGATTGTTATAAGTAGCACATTTAGTTAAAGAAAACTATGGACCAGAGTTTATAATACCAAATATACACATTTCGCTTCATATTACTGAATGCTGTCATGATTATAGTCCTTTGTATTCATTTTGGTATTATTCGTTTGAAAGAATGAATGGAGTTTTAAGTGAGATTTCATATCACTTGTTAACAAATTATTAAATAATTAAATATATGATTAATAATTATTTAATTTTTCTTTATAAAATCCCTTCTGAACAGTAAGCAATAAATTGAATTAGAACTTCTACGCATCATTATACAAAACCATAAAATAGACAAATTAATTTTAAATCAATTAGATTATTCAAAACTGGCACAAGCTCTTGAATTAATAAAGTCTCGTCTGATAGCTGGAAGTTTAGCATCTTATGATGAATTGGATTTTACAGAATCATACTGATTCGTACAAATCTTTTGTCATCTTAATGAAACTATTATCAGTAATAAGCCATTTTTGGGACTAATGCTTTCTTCAAAAAAAGAACGCGTGTCTTTACCAGATAATATTTATGAATTATTAGTTCAATATTATAATAATGCATATGATAGGAAGTTTGTAACGATTGCAGATGCAGTTTCTAAAACATTAACAGAAGATCTCACCATTGTTTTGTCATATGTTAATCAATATAACCATATTAGTTTTGGATCTGAAATCTTTAGAGTAACAATTGCACCCCAATATATGAGGAATTCACATATATTAGCGAAATTTATACAAAGCGATGAGATGACAGACATATTTCCTGGTGAAGTATTATACTATTTTGAATATTCACTTGACCTTTCAATAGGTACTGTAACACATCATTAAGCATTTATAAAATAGAATATACCAGCTCCTGACCGGTAAATAAGATTTCATTGTAAATCTAATGTTGAAGAAGAATTATATAATATTGAGCTTTGGAAAGATGAATTCTATAAGATTGATAGAGATAGTATCATTCCAGTTCATAATATATAAAGTCAATTTGTGCTAAGTGAATTTATAGTTAGTGTACGAAAACCAAAAAATATATTGCAGTTATACCAATTAATAGACAATTTCATTTGTAATTTAATTGTATCTTATTAAAATAAATTTGTAACAATCGGTTTATTTTAATAAATTAATAAATTTGAAACAATCAGTTAAATTGAATAATTTTATAAATTGGAAACAATCGGTAAATTTATTAATATATAAACCAATTGGTAAATTCTAATTGAATAATAATCATCAATCGGGTATTAAACTGATTGACAACTAATTGTTAATTGAACCTGATTTGTTTTTTTTTTTTTTTTTTTTTTAAATGTACAGTAGTATCGCAGAGACTTTATTGAAATGATAAATTTATACAGAAGTACAAAAACAAATGCATAGAAAAAACGAAAATTTCTATCTAATTTAACTATAAAAAACTAAATTAGATCAAAACTGACCTTGCATATTCCTAGACTAATTACCTTTATCACAAATAATCTTGACAGTCCAGGTGGAGGGCCTGATTACTACCGATTTAAAAATCCGACTAGGAGGTACCGAAGTAGAAAGCATTTTGAAAGCATTGGGGAATATTTGCGAAGAAATTGGTTGAAGTTTTAGGAAAGCCCGAAGATTTCCAGTCTTCCTTTTTCTTAGCTAGTGTTATTTGGTGTAATATTTCGAATGTTTTGAGTGTGTTGCAGCGGGTTTTCCAAATGTCATTAGTGAGTTCGAAAACGTGATGATAGGTGAGTGATAATAGCATAAGGGTGAGGCTATTAGAGTTAATCAGTCTGTTGACCTTGTTAAAGAGTGTAATGGGCACAACCCCTTTAATCATATTTATAAAAGTGTACTGGAACTTGTGCGGTGACATGTCCTATATATCATCTACCAGTAGCGGTCTCAGCTCAGTTGTGAGGAAATTATTCGTCCCAATAGATTGTTAGATTGAGTTAAGTAATATGTGACGCGTTAATGTACTCGCTTGGTTAACGAGTTGCAGAACGGAAGGGCAGAGCCATAGATGTTCAAAGTCTTCTTCAATGATGTCACATGATAGGCAGAGAAGATTATGAGGATATATAGTAGGGTGTCGATGTTTGATCACTTCAATAATCGGAAGCATTTCCATCATCAATTTCAGCTTTTGTTTTTTAAGGTATGAGGCTTGGAAGGAAGTTGAGGTCTTGTTTTCATTATCATTTAATATGAAGCATGTGGCTATCCAGTGAATCGACTGTTAACCATATTTCCGAAAATGGGAGGAATCAGCAAAGCTGTTGAAGCATAAAGCTTTAAGAGCGTCTTTGATAAAACATCGTGGTGAGATGCTAATCAGATGATTGTTAAAACAAAGTATATTCTTGCTGCTGAGGTCATTAATATTATAAGAGAGAAGGTGAGTTAGAGAGGACCTCTTGGCTAAGGCATCCGCTTGTTCGTTGAAGTGGTTATTGCTGTGGGTTGTAATTTTTGTGAATTTTAAGATAATATTTTTAGAAGATATGATTCGAAAGAGTGCATGCTATATGCCGTAATTCGCAATTTTAGATGTAGGGTTAAATGTTGGTGAGACCATATAGTATTGGAAAAATAGGTTATAGTAACTAATCATAACCAATGAATCAGTACATATTTCTACTTCAACATTGCTAGGAGAAGCGACAATGGCTGCTGCAATTGCAGATAGCTCTGCTAATAACGCACTGGTTGGAGAGTTGACAATCGTCGCATTGAAGGATAATGGAGGAGCATCGGGATAGGCAAGTACCCAAGCTGATCCCATTCTAGCCGAGAGTAATTCAATATTGGAGACTGAACCATCAGTGTAAATTTGAGCTGTGGAATGTTAGTAAGGCGATATGCAAAGTCGGTTAATAAAATCATTGACAAAGAATCAAAAATGTTACAGGAGATTAAATTTTTCAAAGGGGGTCTAGAACTATTAGGGACCTATTATATGAATCAAAAGCAAGATCGTTTAAAAGAAAAGGGAAAAGCTACATCTGTAGCCTTGATTGTGGATAGTATTAAAGTTAATATGAGCACAAATGGTCTTGTCGTGGAAGGACAAACAACCGGACTTCATTCTAATGTTTTCTTGTTTGAGAGCTATCACTGCGTGGTGATCAGATAATGTGCATCCTTTACAAGGGATCAGTTGTGTTGTAAACTCGGGTGTTGTATAAGTAGTATGATGATGGAGAATCATATGCTGATTGACAGCGCTTTTGATTCTTCCAACAAACACTGCACTTAACGTAGGAATCTAGGAAATGACGAAATTATCTCTTTTATATGTACCATTTCTATTGATTATGGAAGTAAGTCGGTCAGGACGTGGAAGATGTAATGGCGTTGATAGCAGTCTAGTATTTGTATTCATATTTAACGAAAGTTTCAGTTTGGTAAACCATTTAGGAGTGCGAATAGGTGTGCGTCTATTATCATAGAGTTTTGTATCAGCAAACGTATATAGGGAAGTTCCATCAGACGAGATAAGTTGGTCGCAGAACATCAAATTTTTTTTACGAAAGACATCAGTAAGTTTCCTATAGTTATGTTGTGAAAATTGTGTGTAAATTGGCAGAGATCCACCTATAACAGTATATTGATTGGCCACAACGGCTTTGAATTCAAAATTCCATTTTTTAAGTGTTGACAGGAGGGTAGCAATCCAATCTTTGAAAGGCGTAGGGTCGTCATGTGGCCAAGAATTTAAGGGCGAAGTGGGCAACCATTCCATAATTTGAAGTTGTAAGATTCTGATATTACTAGTAAGCCCAATTAAACCTTTGTCATTTGAAATATTATATAAAGCTGTGGTCTTATCTTGTACTTGACTGTCGAAAAGGTGCGTAAGGTTATATACTGAGGGTGTATGGAATGCAGCAATAGGTGTATCATTGGATAAAGATAATTTTGTTTTAGGAATCCTTCTAAATTAGCACATGAATTTGTCGCATACTTTGTGTCCCAGGAATGTAAGTTGCGTTCTATACATGATTTTTGGTAAGATTACAAGATTATAAATATATATTATCTGTTTATCTGTGAGTACTTTTGCGCGTAAGGCGTGGGTAGCTGTGTGCAAGTCTAGTTGAACTTGTTTTTGAATGAACTGTTTGTTGTTCAACATCGAGATCCATATACCAAGGTATCTTATAGATGAATTATACTTGGCCGGTATAAGATTGAGTGCAAAGGTCGGGAGTTGAAAGTGCACAGCATTTTGGTTCTTAAATGGTGACAGGAGCATTGATTTTATCCAATTAACTTGGATAGAATTTAATTTATAGAAGCTGTCGGCTATACGGAGCAGGCTATTAAGGGACTCTTTAGATTGTGACAACCAAAGGGTATTGTTCATGTATGCTAGAGCTGGCACGTGTGCTGACAATGAGTGATGGGTTTCTACATTTCCATGGTTAAATGGCGATATAACATCCATGTTATACCCAATTAGATCCTAACGAACATAAAACCGGAGTCGCATTAATATTTAAAAAATATATAGCTGATCACATTTTTAACCACAGTGGTTTTTGGGGAAGGATCATCTATGCAAACATCCAACTTCAAAATAAATATCGTATTCGTATTATCAATTCATATATTACCCTCTCAGACAATATTCTTTGAAAAAAATTATATTCAAAATTATCCTTTCTTTTTAGTCAAGTAGCTGAGCTTTCTATGCAGGTGATCTTCATAGGCGATCTTAACGCTGAACCTAGGCACATCAATCCAAAACATTCTAATTAATTTTTTCGAAACCTGGCAAATTGTAATCTATTCAATATTAGAGATATCTGCTATGATGATACTAACACAAGACTCCCTACCTTCCATAGAAATGGCTGCAATCCAAGTAGAATCGATCATATATACTGTTCCACCGAATTAGCTACGTAAACAATCGGAGTATCTTCTACTCCAACAGATCTTTCTGACCACTATTTACTTATTGCCACCTTGGAATACCTGGAACTAGTAACCAAAAAATCATCCTCTCCAATCAAAAAAAAGTATTTTGACATAGATAATATGAATCAAGAGACCTGGTGTAACTTTGCTAATAAAACAGACACTCTACTTGGTGTTAGTCCTATCAAAAACTTCGGTCTGAGTAATCTTACATGCAAAAGTAACATTAATTTCTTCTGGAATCAACTACAGAGCATTATTATTACTGCAGCCGATCTCACGATACCCGTTAGACAATCTAGTACCCACTCTAAAGCTATCCGGCCAACGCTTTTGAAACATGCATATAGTACACTTAAAAGCTTACAAAAATGGTTGAAAATCACCAATGAGATTCTCAAAACGCAGACCTTTAAAATAGAATGGAATAAATTTATTGTTAAAATCCCACCAATTGCCCAAGAAATGCAAATTTCCTTTTTAGAACATGGCGATCCATTAACAAAGGTCCAGATTAATGCACCTCTTATAAAACAACTCTATCATGTATTTACAGTGAAAACTCGACTAATGGAACAAGAATATAAAGTAAAGTCCATCAAGGCGGCACTAGAAAGATGATGCCAAGATTATAAAGATAATCAATTGGATATGATAGATTCCTTAATTAATCGACATAGAAAAACAATTCGTTTAGACCGATGTATAGATGGATCTCTCAATAATAATGGGCTACTTACAGACCCAATCGATATTATTAATGAAACCCAACGACATTTCCAACAAGTAACTCGCACTATCCATCATTCCAAAGTGGTACCAGATGATTGGATTCCTTGGTATAACCCTAAATACGATATTGATCCACTTATTTATAGCGACCTTATGTCTGCACCGACAGAAAATGAATAGGAGAATGTGCTTAATAATCTTCCCTTTAACAAAGCTCCAGGACTGTCCAAAATCAATAATGAAATGCTTAAAAATATGGGTGTACAAACAAAAAAGAAATTTTGGATTTTTATCTGCAGCTG